AAATTCATGTTATTGGGGAAAAAAAAGGAAAAAAAACTTTACTTGAGCCACAAAACTCACTTTATGACATTGAAAGTTTGCTAGTCATTCCCAATAAAACCACACAAACCTCTTTTATACTTCAGTTTGACAATACAGGCTTAAACCTCTGATTGTCCATCCAGTTCTATTCTGAACCTCTAAATCACATCCAAGTAAATTTCCCCTTTGCAAAAATAAATACATATTAATATTTGCCCCTACCAGATCTCCAACAATCTAATATCATTCAAATGTGTCTTAAATAATTGTCCAAGTATACTTGCCACTGAAGAAATGGAAGCAATGACTTTCCAAAGGCCATGCTTCCCTCATTCCTCACAGTAAGAAAATAAAAGAAAACAAGACAGAAACAGACTGGCTTGCATGTTAGGCTGCAAGCCCATCTACTGATAACCAGCTCCATCTAAAAATTCATGTTGGCAAACACTTTATTTCCCTCTAAGATACTAACAGCAAGTATAAGCAGTTGTAAATCATATCTCAGGTTAATAAATGTGAGAGTCTAAAACTGGAATTAATACAACCTAACAAACAACACAGGCATGCAGAGCAGGGAGAAGTTAGGAGGCAGTAGGAATAATAACAGGGAGAATGAGCGGCTGAAGTGAAAAAAACATTTATGTATTTAGGAAACAGGCTGTGATTTGACACATTGCCAAATTAAATCGTTCCTGCAAGGGACATGAGTAAGACAGGCAGATTTCATGACAACAAAGCACCCTCACTTATAAAATGGTAGAATTAGCTGTTCTTAATACAATTTTCAGTAGATTTATCATAGTACAAAAAAAAACTGAAGAAAAATATCTGCTATGTCTTGAAAGTATGACTAAGTCTATACAATACACACAAACTTGATTTTCTTAGTCGCTTAAAGTCATCGTCTTAATAACCTTAGAAATGGAACCCAAGAGTCTGCAGACCTCAAAACAATTTTTCTCAGTGCAACAGTTTCTTTTACTAAGGGAAGCATATCCACCTTTACCACCACCAAAACCCTAACAGAGGTTCATATACAAACTGCCACCTTCCCACTCTACCCTACATACTTCTTCATCTTTCTCATCTCACTTCCTTACTGCCACTAGTCCTTAGAATTCCCTCTACAAAACAAAGACAACTAATATCAATTTATATCTGGTTCCAGCATCCTAAAGATCTGCTCCATTCTCATCTGCCAATAAAGATGAACAAGAGAGAGTATTTCCATCTCAGGATGCTAAGATGTGTAGTTCTCTGAAACACACCCAGCAAGCATGATGGTCAGCCCTTTCAGTCTTGCTGGCTTAAATGCACTCATCTGAGTGAGCAAAGAGTAGAAGTGTTAAACAGTATTACAACTATTTCCAGACCATCTATTTTAGCAAAGCAGTCTATTACTACCTGGTTTTCTCTTATGCACTGAATTGTTTTTTAAAAAACAGAAAAGTAGCACAACTGAATCCAAGACAACTATGACTCTTCCTCTTTTACCTACCTCTGCAGGTCTACGATTTCATTGTTTAACGTATCAAGTTCTTTAATTGCAGAAAAATCTGCTACTGAATTCTGTCCTTGAGTACTCTGAAAGATAAAAAGTAAATACTGTGAGTTTATAGCTTATACTATCCAACAACTTTTTGTGACAGCATGAGCTATCCTCTTTTAACAACTGTTGATAGCATTGTATTTCAAATCTTCAATCTTAAAAAAACCCCAAACAGTCCAGATGCTAGATTAACAGGACGCAACATATATCCAATGCATCTAGCAATTCAAACAGATTTTGTCTCCTGCAAACTCTTGAAGACCATCTTCCGCAAAAGCACAGGACCACCTGATCATACAAAAAAAAAAATCTAGTTCCAAAATGAGATTTACCTTACAGTTAATGCTTAGTTGGCTTCCTAGCATCCATTTAAGAGTAGTTTTGTTTGGACACTACTTTTATACTTATATTTCTTCACCTTGATGATCCTCCTGTTGCAGAGTTTAGACGCTTATTTGCAATGCTTTAAGTGACATCGAGCTAGTTTAACGTAAACCTCCAGAGTACTGAATGAAACCTTGATACTACAAAGCCATAGGTAAGTTACACCCATGAGCTGCCATTTACTTTATGTCTTTATAAGACAACAACCGCAATACAGATTATTTGTTTCAAGAAAGTACACATAAATGACTAGTGAACAAATGCTCAAGACACAAACTAGCAAATACTGTAATTGTTCTACTGTGGATTATCACAACGTGAACATACTCAGGAGGCAACCATGCTACCTTCTATAAATACATCAGTTCCTTCAAGCCTCCAATAAAGTCATCCAGGACAAACACAAAGTTAGAAGGAAAAGTATACGCATATAATTTAAAAAGGCAAGCGATACCCCCAAAATACCACAAAAGTATTTAAATGATGAAGTTGCTCTAAAGATAAATCAAGATGCTCTTAACTATGTATTTATACAAATTTATACTCTAGGGAAAAAAAAAACCACACAACAAAAAACAAAACGCCAAAAAACCAAGAGCTGTGAAAAGACTAAACAGTAAATCTGAGCATGCTGGGGGAGAGAATATTGTTCAGCAGAACTATAGATTATTTATGCATATTTTACTAGAACAAATGCCATGAACTGAGAAAAAATAAACCGATTCAGCTATTTTTAAACTGGTTAGTATCCAGCTTCTCAAGTTGGCAAAGTAACTATGAAGTTTAATCCTGTTCTAAAGGAATTACACAGGAGTTTTGTGGAGTTGCTCATGGTGTTCCAATGAAAAAGTTTTTACTTCTCCTCAAAAGGGAACACAAGGAAAACAGGGAGCTATTAGCTACTAAGTACAAACACTTTCCAGGCCTCCTCCTTTCATTAGTTAAAGAAATTCTGCACACTAATGCCAGAATCAAGCTTGAACAAAAGGTAGTTCAATCTTATTTTCAATTGTTCAGGAGAACTGGTGTGGGGAGGAACATAAAAGCCAACATTTTTAGCTTCAATATACAAGTTAACAAAGACAAAAGAACAATTTGCTGCCATTTACTACACTGCAACATGCAAGCAAACAATGCTTCGAGTTTTTAATTCAAAATAGTAATTAAAGTAAATCTCTGTCAAAATTCTTTAAGAGGAACTTGCATTTAAGTTTTAAAAGTTACAGAACTTTGTTACCACAGTAGTGTAAGGGAACCAAACATTAGATAACAGCAATATACATGCATATGCATTCTGAACATCTACCAAGAAGGATCACAAGTTAACTTCCCCTACTTTAAAAGGATAATGAATCACCATTGTACTTACTGATATTTCTGCTAGTATGTTTATATTGGTCAATTCAGAAGATGAAGCTTGGTTTTTGTTTTTTTGCACAATGTAAGCCATGCCACTTCAAGAAAACTAGCAAATACCATTATTTCTGCCTACTGCTCTCATCCTTTGTGTTCAATTCTTGAACAACAATCTTGGACAAAAAGGTTCTTTCATATCAACAGGACAACATCTTTTTGAAAAAGCTCATGATGAGCTGAACGTTCAGCTCAATCTACTAAAACAGACTCTTGGTAAGGATTTACAGAGCTAACTAAAAAATCTCTTACCTTCTTCCACAATATTCTTACCCTTATTATGTTAGTAATGCAAAAGAAAAAAAGTCACATTGATGTCTTTGAGAGTTCTATAAACCAATTTACGCACACAGAATAGCAGTAACCAACACTGATCTCATCTACTGTGTTCTGATCACTCCATTTTCTGCAGTATAATCAGTAAAACCATGGGTATTAGTCCTAATGATAACTGTCAACTGTCACGTTGGGTTACTATTGTCACCACTTCCCCAGCAATACACAGCATCTTCTCTTTTAAGTTTAAGCAGCACATACTACCAACAGGTAACAGCCACAGATGTCTGAGCTCAAGGAAGAACCTTGGGGTTCTGCCAAATGAGCAACTATGGAAATCAGCAAGAATCTGAGATCGCAACATGCTGTGACACTTCAGAAAAGTACTGTGCTACTTCAGTGATTATGTAAGGGTCTTAGAAGGATGTTCATTATTAAACCAACAGACAGTAAATATTAGAAAAGCAAAGATTCTCTAACCTTGAGAAAGCAGAGTTAACAAACTGACAGAATAATAAGGATGAAAAGCAGAGTGGTGCAGAATGGAAAAAACAGTCCAAACTAGAAAAGAGACATAGAAAGGAAAGCAAACATACAAAAAAGATTAGTAGAGTTGCAAACAAAGCAATTACTTTTTAAAAAACAGAATGTAAAAAGAAATTAGATACCAGTTACAGAAACTCAAAAGTAGTGCCAAATTTTGAGTTTCATTTTTTCAGGTGCGAATTTTTCATTCTGTTTAAGAAAGTAGTAGAATTAGGTCAATGTTTTGCACAACCAAGAAAAGGCAACCCACATCAGACTTCATGATGTGTAAAACAAGTAAGAATTTGTTATGACCTCTACCATCCTGATAAATACAACTTGAACTTCTGAGGTACAGTCTACTGCTGGATAAAGATAAATGGCAATCAACAGACTATGAAGACATTTAAACTATCTGTGAAGTATAAAATGGAGGACCGTTTACTTTTAAAACTTTAAACATATAATTCTAAACTTTATTTAATTCACTTTGTTTCCAGACTTCTTAAAAATACAACGTAAAAAAGGTAATTGTGAACACATTAGGAGAAAAACATTGAACTTGTGCACACTATTTCAAGTGCAAACTAAAATTTCTTTAGACAGGTAGTAGAAGGATTACTCTTTCAAAACAGAAGATAATGCTTTCTCAACATAAGATCTCTCTGCTTGGTTGGCAGGCATAATAAATGACAGCTTCATTTTGAAACATGAATGGAACAGTGTTTTGTTAATTCTTTGCACTCAAGACTTGTTTTCTTCCTGATATTATGATAAGTTTAAGGTATGTCAGTACATGAGGTGTTTCTTGCAGAGCCTTTGAAACTGATATTCATTGTTTGAGATTTATACAAAAAAATGCCAAACCCATCCTTACCTTCTGTAAACTGACACCCCTGTCTGAAGGTGGAATCATCTCTGGAGTCAGAGCCTGAGGTGGATCAATGCCCTTTGTTAACTTCTGATTAATTAAATAGAAAGCCAACGCAAACTGTTCCTTTGACAGCTTTCCGCAGTCCTTTGTGTCACAGAGAGCCCTGTACAGAGATGCACATGAAATCAAATCCTCATTGCTGCAAGTACAGTCCTCTTTATTGTACTTGCTGTCATTTAAAAATGTGAAAGTTGATAATGCGTATCTCCTCTTCTAAAAAATGCAATATAGAAGGCATGGTAATAAATTGGAAACATTACTCAGAGATACACAACTGCTTTCTCTTTGCACACCTAAGGTCCACAGCACTGTTACAGTAAGTTCCGATCTGGTGAAAGGCAGAATCAGGGCTATGAGTCAGTAACAACACCCGAGTACCTGTAACTGAAGTTCCTTCTAAATTAAAGAAATTTCACATGTTTATCTGATTTTCCTAAAATTCTTAAGTTAGAGGTTATGTTAACCATTCCCTGGGGGGGAGGCAAGAAGAAGTTTTTCCTATCAGAGTGCTCCACAATAGCTTATACTGGGGAAAGAATTAAAAAAAGCAGTGGGTGTCACTACTAGCTGTAATGAAAGATAAGTAAGTTGTAGAATGAGATGGGCCGTATGTCTCACATCCTAAGAATTTCACATGGGTAATTCTCTTCACCAGTATACAGACAGTATCAGTGTTTAGATACACAACACCACTATGATGTCCTAAATACAGGGGTTTAGCTGAAGTGCTTTACTACCTCCCCTAGGAGAGGACACATAGCATAAATGTGTTTTCTCCCCATTTATGTCCAAAAGTGGAGGCAAAGAAGTTACCACAGCTTATACAGAGGCCATGCTACTATATATAAAAAAAACCCCTTCACTTTCCGGGAATGTCAACATAGCACCTTCCATGAAAAGCACTAGGAAGGAGTGAGAACCATGCCATCAACTAAACAGCTGTCACGGAAAAAAACCCTACCAGATATGTGCAAGAAGAGCAGAAGGCAGTCCTGTCTTCAAGAATAGTTCTCTGGCTTCCACACCTGACACAAATCCATCCATGTCCTTGTCAGTTTTCACAAAGATCTCATCATACTTAATTTTGTCTGCAGGCGATACAACCCACTAAAGGGGAGTGGGGATGGAAGGGGGAAAAAAAAAGAACAAAAACCACAATACTAAGACATAGGCAGTTCTGTTTTCAGATGGTTACTTTCAGACTTACATAATTCAAGGACTACAGCACAGATTTAAAAAGTGATATAGGTGCCTAAGCTCATGAACTGGTTTTATCCTCCCAAATAGAGATACACAGAGATCCACAAGCAACTCCAAAAGCAGAAGCAAAGTACTTACATCAGTGAAGCACAAAGGCTGGTTAGTCCCGCTCTGCCTCCCTGCCTATGCATTAGCAGTATCCCCTGGAGCCCAGATCTCCTCCCAGCATGGGGTTGTGCCCTCCTCGCTGTGCTCTCTCACAGTCCTGCTTACTGTCTGGCTCTATGAGTTTTATTCCTCTTTACACAGCTGGAGAGATTTAGCTGGAGGGACTGAAGAACTGCTCAAGCCCAGAGTTTTAATAGTTGGCACACTCTAAATTGTAGGATTTATCTCCAATCAAGGTAAAGACAGAAATTACAGCCACTTCTCTTATTTCAGTGACATTTCCAAACACTATACTATAAAGATGTTTCAGTTTTTTGAGTGAACATGGCTTCAGGTGCAAGCCTATGAACACTAATTCATTTCAGTGTACAGGGATAATTAACAGATTAATCCCAAATGGTGCTGTACACAAAACGTACTCTGAAACACTCATCCAGAATGGTACTGCTTTGTAATACATGCAGCAAGACCTACCATCAGTCAAGTAAATTGCCAGATTAAAATCTTAGCACCTCCAGTTTCTTACTGATCACTCAAATATGGGTACACAAGTGTCCAAGCAGCATTGCATGCATTAAGTACTACAGTTCTTACCTTAGATTGCCTTTTCAAATTTTTCTTATTTTGAAAAGAATGAGTTAAGTTATAATCTACTAGTAAAGACATTTTCCTGAATTCTGGATTCTAAAATGAGCGGGATTAAATATACTTACCGGGGTGGGAGGCATCAATCTTCTTAATAATCACATTTGGAACAAACACCAAATCTCATGCATTTAGGTGGATATGCCAGACTTTTTATTTCCTTTTCCCATTGCTTGCAATTATCTATTCCATTTTCATTAAGGTCTTCTTGAAATTGCATGCATGCACGCATATACATCTGTGCATACATGCCTGAGACAACTTGTTTTAAGAACTTGTCCGAATTCAAATCAGTTTTCAGCCAGAAGACTTATGTTCTGCAGATGTGTACCTGGACTACATTTTTAAACTGTTTTCTTAATATTCTGACCTTTGGGTTGAGCTTGATGCCTTAAGATAAATTATTTTTAAAATATCTTCAAAATCTTTACTAAATAGTATTCTTTTATCCAACTGTGTATCTGGAGACATCCATAAAAAGCAGAAGACAAATTTCATACTTCTCCCCCTGGTGTTCCTATCAGTCTCCTCAAATTAATCAACCAATCAACAGGGTAAGAAGGAAACTAAAAGCCTGTATCAAGACTCTTCATCCAGGCAGTCTCCAAAGCACAGCATTAAGAGCAGAAATCTTCTAACCCTCAGTAACTTCAGCACTGTACCTGTGTTAATGGTGTTAAAATGCCTACACGTGGCAAGGATTGACGAGACTCTTTGGTAGCTGTTGAAGATGGAATTAATGGCATTGCTCCTGGAACACTAATAGGTTTTCTCTTGGATGGTGGCACCAAAGTTGCAGGCAAGGACATTGGCACTGGTTCTTTCTCCAAAGCACAGTACACCAAAGACATGGCCTGAACAAAAAATAAGGTGTGTGGATACATAAATATATAAGAAACAAATATACATATAAGAATTAGTTAATCACTGTAACATCTTTTAATTACTTTTCTCTGTTACAAGCCCCTTTCAGCTGAATTGCAGCTTGTCACCTTCTGACCTGCGTTCATTACTACTTTGAGGTTCAGTGCTCAGCAAATGAAGTTCAGTGTCTTTCAGAACATTAAAATGATTCTCCTGAACGTTACCAAGCTTGTACCATCACTTGTGGAATTTTATTTAAGAGAACACTTCAAACAACTGATTTTAATGCATTCACTGTTTTTCCAGGAATTGCTCCACTTAGCAACTATTCTTTTGTCATGGTTGTATCTTTTAATAATTTTACGACTTGTTCAAGACACAGACCTGCACCTTAAAGAAATTTTATAATACTGTACAGATTATCAATTTCTTTCAAACATTTCCTTAGTGCATATCAATCCTCTGATCTCAAAGCTAGAAGTCTGAAGAATTAAAGTATAAACACAAGAAAGCAAATATAGTAACAGTTAACTACTAGGTTCTTAAAATAACTGGTTTCAAAAGAAACTGAAGCATATAGGTGCCTGAAGATGACTACAACAATATTCAAGAAAGCAATTTTTACACTTTTATTCTTTGATAAAAATACACGACAGCAGAAAAAGGTAATCATATTTATATTACAAAAAACAAAGCAAGGTTTTGATGTTGTCCATAACATCAATTCTTAAGAATTAAACAGATATTTTTAATTTTCTTTTTATTTTATTATTTTAAACTTTGAAAGGATAAACAAAAGCTTAGTTTCTATAAATTAAAATTAAAGGCTGGCTTTAGTTCCCCTTGAGGACAGAAAGGTCACACTACTTTTTCAAGATTCTTGCAATGCAGAATGTGGTTAAGATACTTCGCTAGCTTTTCCAAACTTTTAAAGTTAGGTTTGATATTTCTGTCCATAAAATTAAACCCCCTCCTCCAGAGTCAATGTATAATTCCCTCCTCTCCAATTCGCTTACATGCAAAAACAAGCTGAAAGTTCTGAGAAAAATCTGATGCATGATTACTATCACATTCAAGACTTACACAGTCTTCAAAAGCAAGAGCTTCCCACTCTCTTCTCACTTGCCATCTCTTGGGGGAAGTGAAACTTATTTACCACTTCTTACATTATTCCATCACTCCTGGCATTAATACTGTTAAAATTCTAACTTGCTACGACTTTTTGAAGAATTTATACATAATTCCTTTAAAATTTTCCTCAAAGGTATCCTGAGGCATTCAAGTACTATAAACAGTGAAGGTTAAGGTAAAACTTATTCCATGAAAACACTCAGTCTCTCATGGGACAGCAGATCACAGACTAGATCACAGATTTAAGTTTTTAATGGCTCATTTAGCCCCCAAAGTTACTGCTGTGTAATGAGAGACATTCACTAAACTGCCAGAAACATTAACTAGTACTAAAACGTGATAATGACTCTGAATAAAGGCAATAAATGAACTACGCAAACAGTCAAAAATTAATACACAATGCCACTATTTAAACCTTTGCGATTAGACTTCCAAAATCCCAAGATGCAGAAGATACTTACAACTGCAAACTCATCTCGATCCAACATTCCATCACGGTCAATATCACTCAATTCCCATACCTACCAATAAAAAGCAGAATATAGGGATGTTTGCCTGAACTGCAGCAGTTTCCTATTTAAAAGCTTATTAAAAACAAATGTGAGAACAGCCTCCCTCTATCCAAGGTTCTATTAAGATCAGCAGTATTAGTTTTGAGTGAGGAACATACATTCATATAAACCATGCAAAAAAAGAAGATTGTTAAATTGCAGACAGAGTGCACTAATGGCACCCTGCGCTAAACCAAGCGGTCAAGAATACACATAACTGATACACTGTGGTAAGAGGTAATCTATCAAAAAAATTTTTTTTTTTTTTACAGTTTACAATTACACATGTACGGCCACTCCATAAGACAGTATTTAGTAGTTCAGCTTATTATTACAAATCTTGAATTTGAAAAGCAGATGTTGCTGAGTGTAGCACAGTTATAATTTGTGAATTAACAATTAAGTCAAAAGATATTCTTACTCGTCCTAAGATATCCACTGGCAGTTTTGAGTTAAGGAGTACAGGTTTCACCTTATCACCTGACAACAGTCCATTCACAGGATTTAGGCTGTCAAAAATAGCATCATACTTGGCCTTGTCTTCCAGCTGCAGGGGCAGAAGAAAAATATTCCTTATGGAAACAGTCACACTTAGCCTAAGAAGCAGCAGTTTTTTTGAAAGTATTAACTTCTTTTTTTTTTAAAGTTACAGTTGGAAACGCACACATTGCAGTTCCTAATGCTTGAAACAAAATATTAAAAAAATTTATTTCTAAGCTAGAGACTCATTCAAAACCCAGTGAGATTTATTCTTCAATTATTTTCATGTCTTCAGGTAACTATTCCAAATAAACCACATTTCTAAACATAAAGAGATTTCCCAAGTCACAAGTGTTTTTATCTCATGAGGTCTACTAGCCCAATTACAGCTTTGACATGAATGCCAACTTATTATACCTTACAAACTACAGCTACCAGTAACATTGTATTTTTCTCAGACAGACTTATGTTTTCTTGCAAACAACATCGTAGATCTAGGTAACAGCCTGATCTTTACGTTACCTTAACAGCCCATGGTACATCACTTGATGTTGTTCCACTGCGTAGCAAGGGACTACTAGTATCAGTCTAAAGAATAACAGGAAAAAAGAAAACAAAACACATTAAAAGAGACATGGTTCCGACCTCACAAAATCACTCCCTTAGTTGAGAAGGTGCTCCTTCTCAAAGCCAGAACTGCATTTTAGTCACTCCTACCTTAGTTAAGGACACAAAAATTTAGAGTAAGATATTTTAAATGTTTCTTCCATTAAGGACAACACTAGTAGAACAAATAACATATATATTCAAATTATACTCAACTCTATATTCAATCCCCACTAGAACATGTAGATTCTTATGGCACATTGCTTAATTTTCCCCTATTGTAGGGCCCTGTTGCCCTACAACATCACTTTCAGAAGTGCTTGGTATTTATACCAAACCTTCCTAACTGTTAACTTAAAAGTAGTTCTTATTAATGAGTCGATATGTTCAATTAAAAAAGAAATCTTACAAATCTTGGTGGAGGAACAGGCAAATTAAGACTACTCAGGGAAACATCCAATCCATTCTGTGCACATGCTACAAGTCGTAATGCCACAAAAAATTCCTATAGGAAAAATGAGATTTTAAAGGCTTTATTATATGAAAATATTCAAATTTCAGAAGAATTAAGAGCTTTTCTAGTATTGCTATATATACAAAGGGTTGCAAATGGCTTCAAAGTGGATCACAAAGTGACAGAAAGCAGCAGTCAGCAACCACTGAATTCCTACAGTGAGGCAAAGTTTATAATTACTAGCTGCAAGCATTTAGTAACTTCTTGGCTAGTGTGATCAGTTCTCAGCACTCAGTTCTTCTACAGCAGAGCAGTGAAAATTTAAAGTAACAATTACAGGTGTTTATCTTGGAGGAACCAAGTTGATCCAAAAGGT